TGAGGACCTTTATTGCTCTGGTGGGGTTGGAGATATGGACGAATGGTGACCTGATCTCTGTGACCCCCCCAGCAGGAGAAAGCCTGGATGCTTTCATGAAGTGGAGAAACTCTGAGCTGGTGACCAGGATAAAACATGACAATGCACATCTTATAAGGTATGAATAGATTCTATAAGTAGAATCAGTCAGACTCAAATCATGTGGAGCAAAATGTCTCATACTTTCAACAGTAACCGAGCAGGAAAGAGAAAACAAATTTCAGAAATCTGAGTTGTGAGTATCCATATTTTTTTCTCCCAGGTTAAACCGGCCTGACACATCAGCTTAAGAGGTTTTAAGCTTCCACATAACGCTCGTGTAACTTGTGTTTTATACACAAGATACACAAGCAGATCCATTATTGAATCTTAAATAAGAATGTGCTTGAATGTTCACACCTCAACATTCAGGAAAGTTCACAGTAGCTAATCTAATCTAATCTAATCTAGTAGTAGCTAGATTAGTGAGTTGATGGATGATATGAATCCTGTATATGAATTTAAGACTTTCTGATCTTCTCTTTCAGTGGTATCAACTTTGAAGGAACAACTGTGGGTCTTGCTTTCATCGGGACTCTCTGTTCTGGTCACTCTGTCGGCGTAATACAGGTGAGGTGTTCATGCTTCCCAGATGATGTATCTCACTGACTTCATAACTTATGCCCTTGCTTCATGCTGTGGTAAATGTGAATTTTGGAAACATGTTCCTAAATCCATTTAGTTCAGTCATTCCTTTGCCCCTCAAAAATCAACTTAATTGTTTATCTGATACTTTGATTAATGACCAAATACCAGAGAAAACAAATCACATTTCCATCACTTTATCACTAACATGTAGTGACCACTTCCTGCTAAAAGAGAAAAACTAAGTTAAATTATGATCTAGAACTAGACTCAGTCTACAAAGTCTTCTTTGCACATTTGAGATGCACACATCTCCATAAGTGCAACGTGAAAAACTCATTCTTTGACTAATCAATCATTTCTCACAAAATCCTTTTCCTCCTTACTGCACATGTAGACCACTACACTAACTCTGTCAATAGATCCATGCAGTCTGAAAGTCCCGACTGAATAGACTGAGAAAATGTTAAAACTGAGACAAACATGTGTTGCTCTGTCTTGCTGTTAGTAAATTTTTGCTGCTGTTTCTTGTGCTTAATTTTTTTCTTAGGATCACAGTGATGCAGCCATAGCAGTAGGAGCAACACTGGCTCATGAGATGGGCCACAACCTGGGCATGAACCACGATGACTCCAGTGGTTGTTTATGTTCTGACGAAAGCTGCATCATGGCAGCAGCCCTCAGGTAAGAAAAGCTGATTTGAAGCATCCTTCAAGTTGAATGCAGATTCTTTCTGTTAGCAAATAAATTCAGGCTATAACAAGTGACCGTAAATAAACATTTACGAGCCTTACAAACCTCACTAAATGTTTTGATCATCATAACATGTTTCATTTGGTACAACAACATAATAACTGTGTGTATTGGGAGCAAAAAGGAGGTCAGCTGGTGCAGCTCTTAATGTCACATGGCTATGAGACTGAAGAACGTGTGTGAGCATGTTTGGTGCGTACGTGCTGTATATGTACCACCATACAGCTATTGTGCAGCCATGTCTCCCTAGTGTCAGACACTGATAAAGATAACACAAAAAAAGATAATAATAATAATGTGTTTGTTCCTTTTCAGCTGGAAAACTCCTCGAAGCTTCAGTAGCTGCAGCAGCAGCAACTATGAAAAGTACCTAACAAGCCGCAGCCCCAGCTGTCTGCTAAACAAACCAGACTATAAGAGTGTCGTGGCTCCCGCGGTCTGTGGAAATGGCTTCAAAGAGGAAGGAGAGCAGTGCGACTGTGGTTCGGTGCAGGTAAGTAAGCACATCAGCTGCTTAAAAGTTTTATTGTGTAGCAAGTTGATCTGTTCTACAAGCTGTTGGTGATCTGA